TCTGATTACAGTTATTAAAGATTATGTGCAACCTGAGACCACCATAATTTTAGACTGTTGGAAAGCTTATAACAGTTTCAACGAAAAGGGCTTCAGTCATTTCAAAGTTAATCACTCCTATAATTTTGTTGATCCCAAAACAGGGGCCCATACCAATAACATCAAGAGGGAGTGGAGGGATGCAAAACGCACAGTCCCTCAATTTGGCCACCGGAGAGAGAGGTTGGGTTCTCGTTTTCTATAAAGCCCACCAGAAGGCAAATAAGCGGCTGCACCATTTCCTGCTTGCTGCTGCCAAGTTATATCCTCCTTCTCTTTAAAGTAAGCTGAAAATTTTGGGTGAAGGGGGTTTGGGGTCTTGTCTTTGGTAGGGAAATACCCTAGGGAAGGAGTCCAGGGGCTTGTCCCTGGTAGGGAATACCCCAGGGAAGGGGTCTGGCAACACTGACATTGGCGCAGTGGATCTTGCAGCAGCAGGTGAATGAAAAGTTTACATGTTTATCAACAATTTTGATTTTAATTATGCTTTTTCTTTCTTTTACTGATTCTTAATCTGAATTGTGGCTCAATTTGTTCATTTCTTTCACTTTCTTATAATAAAGTTTGGCTTAGGGTTTTTAATTTTTACGCTTTTATTCACTCTTTTATTTCGAAGCTTAGCTCGGGTTTTTCATGTTTTCAAAATTTTCATTTTCATTCGACTATTTCTCCCATGTGTGTCCCCCCCTTTCAACCCCCGATTCCCAACGGGTCTCCCAAGATTGATAGGAGTTGAAGAAAAATAATAAAAAATGGGTGCAGCTGTCTTACTTAAAATTATGAAAAAAATCCCCACTTATCCACAGAGACTGAAATAGGTGAAAAATATATATATAAAAAAAATCATCTTTCTTCAAAATTACCTGAGCTCCCACGTTAAACATACAACATTGTTGTTCTTTGTTGGAGCACCAACAGGCGTGACAACCTTTACCTAAAAGTAGCAGTCCTTCAGGTGCCATTCAAACATTAAAAAAAATAAAATACCCAAACCATGAACCTTCATTATGTACATAATCATAGGAAACTATAGGTAAATAAGAATTCAATTTATTAATGCCAAAGTTGCAATTCAAACACTCATATGACCTTCCTTGCACTTTTCACTTGTAAATACCAACAATCTCCTCAAAAACTATTGTGACTAAAGAAAATATTTTGTTTATGAGTTTTAATCAAACAAAAAATCAATCCCAACTCTATATTTCAAAAATAATTGAAGAGGGAGATTGTTTACCTTTGACAGTGACTGAAGCAATCGTATTCTGAATAATTAACAAGTTATCAAGTTCTATTACCTTCTACTTTTTGACATAGTATCCAATTATCTCCTTCCTTTTTTTACTTACAATCCTTTCATTCTAACGCTTACAAAGCTTTCGAAATATTATATGTTTTTTTTCGCTCTTTCCTCCTTGCCTTCTACATCAGTTATTCTACTTACCTATTTACTTCTTCCGCCACTCCACATTCTTCTTGGAGTTTTCATGGTAGAAATAACATAAAACTAATAATGAACTAACCACTTGGTAATATACTAACCACTTAATATTGACACCGTAGTAGAAGACACGTTTGCATGGCTCTTTGTCTTTGTTGACGTTCGCGTAAGTGAATCCGGATTGCCTGATTCCCACGCTCAGTGGGAAAACCTTTAGAGAAAACGGAATAGGAGGGACTTTCACATTTCAATATTCCACATTACGGTGAATATATTTCTTTCTTTTTATGCTCTATTGTTTTTGTACCATTAGCATGTCATGTAAGGGTTAAAACAAATAAATGTGCAAGACGTCAAAGGTCATAAAAAATGGTCATAATAATAATAATAATAATGAGTATAGAATTAATACCTTGACGTAGAATGAAACATTCCATCAACGGCAAAAGACGCACGAGTCGAAAATAAAGGAGATACATGACAGAGAAGAGAGATCGACCAACACTATATCGAAATCGCAAGGGAAACATTACTATGAACTCATTACTATTACCTGTGAATTAGTTCACTTATTACTTTGCCTAAACATTGATCATACTATTTATCTATTTTATATATCATATTTATTGTATTTATCATATTTATGTTTATTTTATTTATCATATTTATTCTATTATCATATCTATCTTATTCATCATATTATTTATTTAAATAAAATACCCAATATACGAACCTTCATTAAGTACATAATCATTGGAAACTAAGTAAATAAGTGCCTGTGTAAACAATTATTTTGTAATTTTCAACATCTGTTCTCCTAATTAATGTATTGTATGTATTTTTTAAACATTTCTATCAAAATTCTTAAACGTGTTTTCATAGTTATTTACTTTATTCTGTTAAAAAAAAAAAAAAAAAAAAAAAAAAAAATGATTTTCAACAGTGCGACTCGGCGTTCCCTGACAAAGCGCTGAGAAATTATTCGTTTTCAGTGCTGCCTCGATTCCAGGTCATTTCTCAACACAATATAGTGGCTATACATTAGAAATAGAGTTAGTGACCATTGCCGCTCGATATGTTAGCCCATCAAGTGCCCCAAATGCAGTAAAATGTTACTAGAAACCAGGCCATCCAGAGAACAGACAGAAGCGAAGGAAAGTTTGGTGCTGTGAGATATAAAGGTATTTTGTTTATTCTTTAAGGAATGGATGTAGCTCTCTCTTGCCCTACATGCTGAGGTGAAAAGAATGGTTGCCAAGGGGGTCGGGGGCAGAGACTCCCATCAACCTTCCCCTCGGCCATTATCCGAAGGGCTGCCTAGACATGGGAACTTAAATCGTTGAATAAAGTTGGGGATTTGGATAGTGTGAATTTCAGTAGATTTTACCAAAAGATGGGTTGGATATATATACATATATATATACATATATATATATATATATATATATATATATATATATATATATATATATATATATATATATATATATATATATATATATATATATATATATATATATATATATATATATATATATATATATATATATATATATATATATATATATATATATTATATATATATTCATGTATATATGTATGCATGTATATGTATATATATACATATGTATATATGTGGATTCAAGTTAGCGAAAGTTGGTGCCAGAAATGATCATCAGATTTGTTCTCATCATATAATAAATTATGATTTGAAAGATATCCCAATAAAGTCAATATCCAATCACATGAGTAATAACATTTTAAAAATTTACCCTGTTGTTTTAGCAACTATCATTAATCTTATATTGTGGACATATAATTCACATACTGCAAAAGTGGAAAAAAAGACACACATGCTTATGAATTTTATATCAAGAAATATATAAAACAATTTATAAGTAATGAAAATATAAATCTGAGGCATACATGGAATATGTTTTAGAGTATTGCACTCGGCTTGGCTGGCCAGTGTGTCACTTTCTACCGAGTTACAAACTAACAAAATAAAAAGCACTCTCAACATGTTTGCACACAAAGAGCAAAAATTATTTTGCACATATTTGAGTGTGACGTTATGCCATATATATGTATATATATATATATATATATATATATATATATATATATATATATATATATATATATTTACATATATATCCCTACCATGACAGGGCCAGAATTCTCTATAAATCCTTATGCAATAGTGTGCTGTGTATAGTTGGCCCACCCATTCGTGATTCATGATGTGTATACACGTCATTCGTCCTTACATCATAATGGCTAAAGGTGTGCCTGTCCTTAAAAGGATATATGAGGACATGACTGCTGGATGCTGCTTTCCCTCTCAGAATAACTTTAGACACAAAGATGAATGTTCCCTCACATGAAGTCAATTGGCATATCACTTGGAGATTCACTCATGGCCAATACTTCACACACGCTGATGATGGTTGTCAACAAAATCTAAATAAAGATATGAAATACTTGCACCCATTATGATTAACATAAAAAAGATATGAATGAGAATGGATATATTCACATTGAAACAAATGCATTCAATGAACTTTCATCATATCTGCATCAGACATACACATGTATATCACAAGATATAATGAAATGCTTTAAATACAACTCTAGCAGTAGAGATATTAATTTTCATTCATGCCTTTTTTCAAAAATTCAACAACACAAAATTATCCCTAGTAATTACTTATTGTATTAGAAAAGTATGAAATGATGCATTGATATGATATAAATATGTATATAGATATATATACACATAGGCACAGATATGTTTTTCTTTATGTAAATGGACTTATAGATAACAAAATTCTTTCCTTGAATCAACTTTCATTTACCTTTTAATACAGATCTTATATAGGATTTCACATGAAGAATATGAAGTGTCTGCCTGTAACTGTAGTACCAAAATTATGATAGAAGTTACAAAACACGTCTATAAATTGGCCAATGACCTATATAAGTGGCTGTATTAGAGAGAAGCAGTTTTTTGAAACACTGTGAACATTAGTGGTTGTGTTTTGACTGCCCCTGTGTGACATTAAGTTATGAAAAACAAAAATACAAGTCAGAATACACAAAACTACACATAAACAAAATCATATAAAACATAAATCCAAAAAGAGAACCTTCAAACTCTATGATGCATCTGCCACAATAATGTCAGGAGGAAGTCTTCCTTGTAATCATTTTTTCATTCATAATTCTCATATGTCCTACAAAATTTCTTCTGTGGGTGAAGGTATATCTACAGACCTCATACATGTTATTTCTGTGACCTTTGTGTACACCAGAGTAATCTTTTGTTCACAGAGAATGCCTATATGGTTTCAACTTTGCATGCCCGCAGATAATCACTAAATCATATTTCTTGGAGAATCCTCAGGCACATTGCTCCTTTGCATGTACTCTCTTGTGTTGTGCTAGAATATATGTTAGAGATTTTATTGGAAACCAAACATAAATGGCTTATCCTCTGCATGTTCTCCAATGTGATCCACTAAGACTTATCTGAGAAGTCTTTATTGCAAATCTCACTGCTACATGGTTTCTCCTTTGTATGTACTCTTATGTGGCCCACTAAGTTAGATCTATCTGAGAAGCCTTTATTGCAAATCTCACAGCTATATGGTTTCTCCTTTGTATGTAGTCTCATGTGCACTACTAGATGACTTTTTCGAGAGAAAGCTTTTTTGCAAATATTACAGATATGTGGTTTCTCCTTTGTATGCACTCTTGTGTGTTTTACTAAATGACATTTCTGAGAGAAGGCTTTTTTGCAAATATCACAGATATGTGGTTTCTCCTTTGTATGTACTTTCCTGTGTCTCATGAAGGCTGATCTATCTGAGAAGTTCTTATTACAAATCTCAGATATATGGTTTCTCCTTTGTATGTACTCTTATGTGCCCACTAAGGATCTATCTGAGAAGTCTTTATTGCAAATCTCACAGCTACATGGTTTCTCCTTTTCATGTGCCTTACTAGATTATCTTTCTGAGAGAAGGCTTTTTGGCAAATGTCACAGATATATGGTTTCTCATTTGTATGTACTCTCATGTGGCTTACCAGAGAACTTTTCTGAGAGAAGTTTTGCAAATGTCGCAGATATATGGTTTCTCATTTGTATGTACTCTCATGTGGCTTACCAGAGAACCTTTCTGAGAGAAAGCTTTTTTGCAAATGTCGCAGATATATGGTTTTTCCTTTGTATGTACTCTCATGTGCTGTAATAGATTATTTTTCTGAGAGAAAGCTTTTTTGCAAATGTCACAGATATATGGTTTCTCCTTTGTATGTACTCTTCTGTGTTTCACTAAGCCAGATCTATATGAAAAGTTCTTAATGCAAAGCTCACATTTATATGGTTTCTCCTTTGTATGTACTCTCATGTGTCTCACCAAGTCAAATTTTTGTGAAAAGTCCTTATTGCAAATCTCACAGCTATATGGTTTCTCCTTTGTATGTATTCTCATGTGACTTACTAAAGAACCTTTCTGAGAGAAGGCTTTTTTGCAAATGTCACAAACATATGGTTTCTCCTTTGTATGTATCCTTCTGTGATTCACTAAGCCTGATATACCTGAGAAGTCCTTATTACAAATCCCACAGCTATATGGTTTCTCCTTTGTATGTACTGTCATGTGCACTACAAGATGATTTTTCAGAGAGAAGGCTTTTTTGCAAATATCACAGATATATGGCTTCTCCTTTGTATGTACTCTCAAGTGCACTACTAAATTACTTTTCTGAGAGAAGGGTTTTTTGCAAATATCACAGATATATGGTTTCTCGTTTGTATGTACTCTTATGTGTTTTACTAAATCAGATTTAAGTGAGAAGGCTTTTTTGCAAATCTCACAGTATAATGGCTCCTTTGCAAATGTCACAACTACATGGTTTCTCCTTTGTATGTACTCCCACGTGCCTTACCAGAGCAAATTCCTGTGAGAAGGATTTGCTGCAAATTTCACAGCTGTATGGCTTCTCTTTTGTGTGTACTCTCATATGTTTCTCTATATGTGATTTTCTGTAGAAAATATTGCCACATACTTCACATACAAAAGACTTCAATTTCCTATCCACTTTTCTGTGTGTAATATCTTTATGATTTTCATTATGTTTTGCCTCATCCTCTTCTGATGAACATTTTTTCTCATTTTCCTCAGCCACAATTGGCACTCTTGAAAAGGTATTGCAATCTTCAATGCTATCACATAAGTCTTTTTCATTTGCTTCCTTTTTAAGGTCTTGAAGATCCCTGAAGGAAAGAAATTCATTTTTCACTTTCACTTCACTCACTTCATCTGCATGATCATACAGTTCTTCTTTAATTTCAATCTCTATTTCTTTGGTGACAACTTTGTTGAGTTCTTCTTTGATATAGACTCCTGTGCCAAATACTTCCTTCTCCATGAGTGGGGCCAAAGGAACCTGGTCAGGGAGAATACTCATTGTTGCCCTGTGAATGGAAAACAGAACAAGGATAACAGAATCCAAAACATAGCTAATCATTTGTATGTACAAAATATCATATATAATGATAAATGTAATTATTACATTCTTAAGTGTCACCCTCTGT